GCCTAGGACAGGCTCCAAGCCTTCTGTGACCCAGTCCAGAGCAAGCGATTAGAGGATGTGGGGGTATTTTAATTTCCGCATCGGTCGGCTTTATTTGTCTCAAGATGCCGCCGCTTATTACCAGCCAAGGCACATAAAGATGGAAAAAGGGAATCCCAGCAGCACAGGTTAACATGTGGGGCTTCCATCATCAGTACCATGCAGCTGGCACTGAAAGCCAGGGTCAGTGCTGTGAGACACTGTCCAGAAGCCTCTGAGTGCAGTAAACTGTATTATTAATGCTCTTGTTGTTTTTGTTGTTGACAATCTTTTTGGTGATACATTTTTTGCACAGTCCCTGCACAAAGAATAAAAATGTTATATATATATATATATATATATGAATGTAGGTGATTGGGTTTTATTTATATTAAGTATATTTATATACTTTAGTGGGGATTGTTTGAGGGAGAAAGTCAAGGCAAAGCACCTTATGCATAACTTGCAGGAGTATTTTTGGTACCATGACTCAGTATGATTGCCGATTACACATTTAGCGCGAGTTTGCATGCTGTTTGACCCACCAGGAATGAGATCTGGCACCTGGGTGGGGGACGTTTTCGGTCTGCGAGTGTTAATGAATGTCACACCCGCTAAAGATTACCGCACACGCAGAGACCGGCCTCGGGTCCTTGGGGATAATCCCACATTCAGGCCATGCGCTGATCGAGCAATTCCTGAGACGGACATTTCCCATTTCACCTAGAGGTTAATTATGGGATGTTAAAGTCAGGTGGATGGTCTGTGCTGGAAGCACCAGACAGGAGATGCTTGGTGTCTGGTCACCCCTCCAAACCCCTCCAAGTGAAATAAAAAAAAAAAACACACACGACTGCATCTTCCCGACGTGCTTGTCAGGGACACGCTAAGATGGCGTGTGTGAGTCTCTCTGTCGTTTTCATCTTGTGTTTATCTGTCCTCCACGCTCATTCAAGCTCACTGCAGACCAGAGAGCTCACTGCAGAACTGAGAGCTCACTGCAGCGACCTGGTTACAGTCTGAAAAGCAGCACAGCTGCTTTCTAAAGTGACGCCGACCGTTATGAAAACAGCGGCACTGCTCTGCTACCGAAACAAGACGTCGGCACTGAGCAACACGAAGAGAATGACGCAAGCTGAGTTTATTACAGCCAAAATGCGTTATACCGCTTCGTCTACGGTATGCTGACCTGAAAATGACATACAATCATTTATGCTGACAACAAGTGCTGTTTTTCTCAACCTGGCTTCCCTTACATTTCTTAACAAAATCGATGCATATTGTGATGCACAAGTGGAACAATATGGCAGTTGAAAGGAGCAAAAAAGAACTTTCCAAAGAATATGAAAAGCACTGTACAATTTGCACTTTAATTTACTTCCTTAATGTGTTACAATGAAACGCACTGAATGGCAGTAATAGTTATTTGGAAATAGAAAGATATGACACAATATCAAGGATCATGTCTTTACTAAAGTGGAAATGAATTAAATGATCTGAACCCTCTTGTTGGCGAAAGCTAGAATATTTTAGTTGCCATGGAAACTTCAATCAGCTACTGGGATGGTGTGTCACAAATAATACAGTTTCACGAAGGTAACATTGATTTCAAAATGAGAGCTTTAGCTTTTTAAGGTGCAGAATCCAGTTACAATGAAATGACAGCCCCAGGAAACACGGATGTGTTTAAAATAGCATATGTTTTTTAGTTTTCTGTGAGCCTATGAATTATTACAGAGTTAAATGGTTTAGGAGAATGGTCTGTGACCAGGCTTAGGCAGTGTGTCAGTGTGCTCTGCAGTGTGTCAGTGTGCTCTGCAGTTTGTCAGTGTGCTCTGCAGTGTGTCAGTGTGCTCTGCAGTGTGTCAGCGTGCTCTGCAGTGTGTCAGCGTGCTCTGCAGTTTGTCAGTGTGCTCTGCAGTGTGTCAGTGCGCTCTGCAGTGTGTCAGTGCGCCCTGCAGTGCGCTCTGCAGTGTGTCCGTGCGCTCTGCAGTGTGTCAGTGTGCCCTGCATGCACAACCAGCTGACACCCTGCTGCTATCAGTGGGAAGGTCAGTTTGCTTCTGCTCCTGCAGGGCCTAATACACTCACCTAAAGGATTATTAGGAACACCTGTTCAATTTCTCATTAATGCAATTATCTAATCAACCAATCACATGGCAGTAGCTTCAATGCATTTAGGGGTGTGATCCTGGTCAAGACAA